CCCCTTTCGGGGCGGTAGAGAGCCCGTGCGTCCGGGACCTGCTTGCAGCCAGCTCTGCTCCCGCGCGCCCCCACGCGGCAGGTCGTAGAGTCCAGGTGGGTGGGTGGGTGGGTCCAGTTCCCTGCCCACCTCCCCAGGCTGACAGCTGGCTCCTGATCACCCCCCACCACCACCACCACCACTCCCCGCACCGGCAGAGGGGGGCACCAGAGCTAAGGCGAGTCCATGAAGCGCACTCTCTCTGAGACAGACGCACAGAAGCCTGGAGGGCATCAGGTAGCCAGGGTCTGCTCACGCCATCCTTGGGAGACAGACACCGGCTTTTCATGCTCGCATGTCTCCTCTGGAGATTCTGGTTCTGCCCTGCACACACTGGGAGCTCACGAAATGTCTGAATGGACGCCTGAATGACGAATGGGATTTGCCAACAGCAACACCGGGGAAGTACCAGGCCTACAGGAGAATGGCGCTCTTTCTTCTCAAGCATCCTGTTCTTCCCTCAGTCCCCTCCTGCCCTCCTCGTCTTTGTAGGGGAAGTCTCGGAGACCTGTGATGGCTTCCTCCAGCCAGAAGTCCTGGAGGCTGGAGCTTCCACAGGGCTACACAGACGCTACAGACCCAATGTGCTGCTCTTAGAAATTCCAGGTCTCACTGCCTACACACTACCAACCAGGTTCCCTGGGGGTGCAGGAAAGAAAGTTTTCTAAATAGAGTTATTCTAATTTTGTGGGGCTGCTGCTTTTAGTTGCATTTCCTTAGTTACTTTACAAAAAATCCTCTGTAGGCAACGTGTAGATCAGGTTTCCTATAAGAAGTGACTTTTTTTTTCTTCTTTCCATTACCTGTGAGAAATTCTATCTGGGAGTAGGGATTCCTGGCTTGGCACTTCTCTCTCCCTCCTGCAGTATCTATTTTTATTACCATTAATTACAATGCATCAGTCCCACTCATCAGTGACACCCCCTCCCCTTGGCTGGTGACTGCTCTTGGCGCTCTGCATTTGGGTGACGCCTGGGCAGGGAGGGCAACTCCCACTCAGCCACTGGAAGGCAGCTACCAAGTTCTGCATCTTTAAAGGAAACCTGGAAAAAGCCAGGATTGTTCTGAACTTGGAAATCCAATCCTTTATTTTGTTGTCTCTGTAAATTAAAGCTAAAATCCAGGGGCTGTTTCTTATAGAAGAATGTGTGCTAATTAATTTATGCACAGTGCTGTGAGACCACTGTAATCAAGTATGTAGAAACAAGATACAGCGCTGCCGGGGAGGGCACACGGCTCAGGGAAACGGGCGCATGAGGCTGCTGCGGAGGGACCGGGTCAATTTTAGCCTCAAATAAATGTCCTCTGGTAGTACCGTGGCATTCTGGTTTGTGATGACAGGTGTGTGCTTGGCCCTCTGGCAATTACCATCTTTGTTTTAATCATTTTACTACAGTTCATTGTCAGTAACTGCTCACGTGTGGGGAAGGT